CAACAAAATGCACAAAATGCAGTAAGTAACGCTAACTATTAGCGCTACAAACAAGTGTGTTTATGTTTATGAAAATAAGAAAAATAAGAATGACAATAAACACCGGTTTGCAATATAAAGCAGCTAGACGGACTGTTTTTGTAAAAGTAAAAAAGGAAGTGGGCGACAAGTTGCAAAAATTAAAGTGCATATAACGTTCTCAGATGAACGCAGGCCCGGATTGGCTAATCGGGAGCACCGTGGAAATTCCCGGTGAGCCGGTCTGTTTTTTGGCCGCGAGGGCCAGTACTGTCATGCCACTGCTATGGGGTTGAAATATGGATGCCCGTATTTAAGGCATCAAAGAAACGTCCCGTATGAAAGTTATAACACAGTTTGTCCCGTATTGGCAGGCATAGTACGCCATATGACCACCAGACCATAACAAATTCTCAATTGATAATTAATCATTGTTTTTGCGCAAAATATTGCTTTATTTGTGAACGTAGCCGGTTGATGAAGGCTTTAAGACCAAGCGGAATCCTCTGCCGGCTGCTCCTGTTTCACTGCCAGCAGGACTCGCGCTTACGTCGTGTAGGGTGAAGCTGCAGGCCCGGAGACCCAACTGCACACTCAGACCTGCACGCTCAGACCTATCGTTTTTTTCAGACAGTGCCACCTGCTTGAAATGTGCCTGCAGATGCGTTTGCACTTTTGCCAACCGTGTTGGTTGGAAAACTGAGGCATCACAAAATGGACAGTGGAAATGACTGCAGCATTTGGTGCACTGTATTAGTTCTGGCAGAGACCCCCCTTTTTGAATTGTAATATCCATCTGGGAAAAAATACACAAGTCACACGCAAATTATTTAGACAACCCAACAGAGCTCATATTGTCAATTCTACGCAGATTACTTGATATTTTGATGAAAATAAACTCAAGGCCGCATTTTATTCCAAAGATCTTATTTGTAATTATTACAGAACTTATTTCTAATTGTTACACTGTTATTGTGTTACTGTTATTGTCTGTGGTAGCACTTTGAGATTTGTAAAGTACAATAAAAAGAACGTGCAATATTATTTTTCTTACACATACTACTACTACTAATAGTAAATGTAGTAGTAATATTAGTATGAAATAATAGTAGTTAATACAGTAATACGTACAGTAGACCTACATAGTACTAAAATATGTTACAAATAATAATTGTATTATATATTATACATTTTATTTTAACATTTTTACTTTAACGTTTTTTATTTTGTTAGAAAACATATTAAGTATCCCAGAATGGTACAATAACACAGAAAATAAGAGCAAGCTGTAAATATTATAAAATAATGCTATCTTTCGACACTAATTTTGATCAAATCAAACACTGACTAAGCTAGCAATAATAGGTTACGCACCACGTGTTTGAAAATAACTGGGAAGAACAAAATTCACGTCTTATTTTGTCGAACTATCTGTCTAAACTATCATTAAATACTAGAATAGGCTATTCGTTTGTTGGTGTAATAAGATGTCACATTGATTTATGCCATAAAACCTGGTAATTTTCAGGAATCGCTTTAATAAAATTAATAACCTTACTCACGTGTCCGATGTTGCTACTTGCTAGCAGTTTTATAATGTTTTTTTTTATTTTTTTTTATTGCAATTGAAAGAATAACAACAGTTATGAAGTAACATGGGGCTAATGGACAAGTTTTATAATGTTGGAAATTATTACGGTACACACGCTACAAAACAAATGTTCATCCAAACAGCAGGAGGCACTGTCTGAAAAAACGATAGGTCTGAGCGTGCAGGTCTGAGCGTGCAGGTCTGAGTGTGCAGTTGGGTCTCCGGGCCTGCAGCTTCATAATGTTGGCTTACGTCCGCGATTTGATTTTGGCAAATGAGTTTGGGCGAATGCAATTTATTGATCATGAGCCCACAATTTAGCAAGGCAGGAAAACATTTAATCTACCTGAGGGGAGACGTCTTTCACTATTGTAAGTTAAGGCTGTTAAATAGAGAGGAAAATACATTAAAAAAAAAAAAAACCTCTAGCGCATTCATAAACTTGGACCTCATTTAATCGAAGTAGAAATCCAAGCACCAGAAGCAGCCCACACTCAGCCCACAAGTTTTCTTTAATTGAAAAATATGCATTTTCATTCATTCATAGGCTACATGGTTGCAATAATAGCCGTTTTAGTTAAAAAATGTAAGTGCATAGACGTTTCATAGACGTTCAGTTGTTATGCTTTCAAATTTCTTGCCATTTGTATGTATGTAATTTCACAGTATTTTCACCTCCTAAATTACTACACTACTGAAAAATTTTTTTTTTTGTTAATTTAACTTCTAGCGCATTCTTAAACTTGGACCTCATTTTATTGAAGTAGAAATCCAAGCACCAGAAGCAGCCCACACTCAGCCCACAAGTTTTCTTTAATTGAAATATATGCATTTTCATTCATTCATAGGCTACTGTATATGGTTGCAATAATAGCTATTTTAGTTTAAAACAAATTTAAGTGCATAGACGTTTCATAGACGTTCAGTTGTTATGCTTTCAAATTTCTTGCCATTTGTATGTATGTAATTTCATAGTATTTCCACCTCCTAAATTACTACACTACTTGTGCAGTCACGATTTTATAATGGTACAATTTACCCAGGCCGATTACTTTTTTTTTTTTGTATGACATTAAAATTATTTTTAGAATATAGGTTAAGCAAAACAAATGTGATTATTTCTGAGAACTTTTTAACTGCAGGCAGACATTATGGTACAGTAGGCCTACAAATATTTTGTTGGAGATATGCGAGCAAAAAATAATAGATTAAAAAATGTAAAATAGAAAGCGCAAATGCGGCGCTGAAAAGGCCAGTAAAAAACAAAAAAAAACTAAACAAAGCTGTAGAAAAATATAATG